TGGATGGGTGCACTCTGTGCCAGGTTAAAAACTGGCTGGATGGCCGAGCCCAGAGAGTGGTGGTGAATGGAGCCAAATCCAGTTGGCAGCCAGTCATGAGTGGTGGTCCCCAGGGCTCAGTACTGGGGCCGGTCCTGTTCAATATCTTCATTGATGATCTGGATGAGGGGAGTGAGTGCACCCTCAGTAAGTTTGCAGACGACACCAAGTTGGGTGGGAGTGTCGATCTGCTGGAGGGTAGGAAGGCCCTGCAGAGGGACCTGGACAGGCTGGATCATTGAACTGGGGCCAACTGCATGAGATTCAACAAGGCCAAGTGCCGGGTCCTGCACTTGGGTCACAACAACCCCATGCAACGCTACAGGCTGGGGGAGGAGTGGCTGGAGAGCTGCCTGGCAGAAAAGGACCTGGGGGTGTTGGTTCGAGTACTGTGTTCAGTTTTGGGCCCCTCACTCCAAGAAGGACATCGAGGTGCTGGAGCGTGTCCAGAGGAGGGCAGCGAAGTTGGTGAAGGGTCTAGAGCACAAGTCTTAGGAGGAGCAGCTGAGGGAACTGGGGTTGTTTAGCCTGGAGAAGAGGAGGCTGAGGGGAGACCTTATGGCTCTCTGCAACTACCTGAAAGGAGGTTGTAGCCAGGTGGGGGTCAGTCTCTTCTCCCTAGTAACGAGTGATAGAATGAGAGGAAACGGCCTCAAGCTGCGCCAAGGGAGGTTTAGGTTAGACATTAGGAAAAACTTCTTTGCCGAGAGGGTGGTCAAGCATTGGAACAGGCTGCCCAGGGAAGTGGTACAATCACAGTTCCTGGAAGTACTCAAAAAATGTGTGGATGTGGTGCTTAGGGACATGGTTTAGAAGTGGACCAGGCAGTTAACTTAACAAGTTGGACTCAATGATCTCAGAGGTCCTTTCCAACCTTAACGATTCTATGATTCTATGATTTTTTTTTTTTCCATATAGAATTTCAGGGAATAATGTCTTCATAAGCTCCTTTCTTTGTGTTATGATCCCATTAAGTCAGCGATGACGACTTCGATCTATGAGGAAAACAAGCTTGAGACCAAGTATCTTCAACTCATAAAGTTTCCAGCTCTTGTTGTTGAAGCCGTTGGTAGGTTTGGAGAGACACATTAATGCTGACGAACTCCCAACTTTCTAAGCAGGGGTGACTGAGCGTGTTTATAAGTTAACTTAGAGAAGTTATATAAGCTTATCTATACTGCCACTTCTCAAGCTCCAAGGCTATTGTACATCATCTAGTCCAGTAAGGTTAGCAAAGTAATCCAAGAATTGTTAGATTTCAACGTTTACACAAAATGTTATATTTCAAAATGGACCCAGAAACCTCTTGTGGGTTGCCAGCCACTATAAATTATGTTCTGCGGGTAAAGAGTTATTTCTTGTTGGAAATAACTTGTTAGTCCTGTGTTGGGCCAAAGTAGAGAAGAAATGGTCAGTACAGGTTGTGGTCTCCTTCACTCCCCTTACCCAGCTATTACAAATCAACCTTGTAACTCATTTGTGACTTACGCACGTACCCACCCTGAATTTTAGTGTTCTGCGGTGGAATTGAATCCTCCCAAGTCTGGACGTTGTGAACTGAGATGCCTGTAGACTAGAAACCTGTGAGTTGCTCCAGGAGGTCAACATCCTGACATCTGTGCAGTGACAGCAACGCTAACGTTAAATTGATGTGTGTGCTGGGAATCAGCTTGTATTTCATCTTGTGCTTTGTTGTCCTTGTCTACAACTTTAATTCATATGTAATACATACAAGCCGTTCTGTTTAGGATTCTGTGTTCAGTTATCTCCTCTCCTTCTTTTTTCCCCTCTGCTCACACCGGCTTCTCTAAATATAATGGCATAAATTCAGTCATGATACAGAGGACTCACAGCTAGAGGACAGAAAGACAATCTTCTGGAAAGAAGATTGTGCTTAATTGCAAGAATGAGACAAATGGCTTAAAGTGCTTAGATATTTCATGAAACGTTTTCTTTTGCTCTACAACTTGTGCTGAAGTGAGAATTGCAGCACTTCGCTATTGTTGCTGTTGCCACTGATGGAAAATAAATAGCAGTATGGAAATCATAACAGACTTTGGAGTTTCTTTCAAATCTCTCTTTTTTTGTCACTGAAATTCTGTTTGTGGCATCGTTGGGGGGAAGGGTGTCTTGCTGAGGTTTTTGTTGTTCTTTGCAAATTTTCCTAAAGGGGGTCAGGACCAGTCTGGCTTCTTACGACAAGCTGTTCTGCAGCTACGTTTCTGTCATCTCGTATTTTCCATGTATTCGAGTGAATTTATTTGCTTTGTTGTTTGTTTTGGACGGATCTTGGGTCTTTGGATCTTGGAATGTCTTTTTTTTTTTTTTTTTCTCCTGAGTAAGTTTCCATCCCAGAAACAGTGCTTATGTACTTAGGGTATTATTCTAAAACTGCTGTAAGATTAAGTGGAAATGTCAAAGTGGAGGCTAGAAGTGGCTGTTAATTTAAGAATCTGTGTTCGGGATTATGTTTTTCCTCCAGATAGATTATGAGGGATAGGCACAGAAGAGAAAAAAGCGGTCCTTAGATTTGACCAGGAATAGCTTTTGGTGGCAGGCTGAATGTCAAGCCACAGACTATCCAGAGGATGTGAAGGGGGAGGAAGTCAAACAAGAAATGTAAATTGCATGTAGAAAAGCTGGGAAGATGAGCGGCTGGGATGGCAGATGATGAGAGAAATACAGCTGTGGTGCCCAGTTCTGCCCATCAACACCGCAGTGTTCTGTAGTTTCTTTTTCTCCTGCAGCGCTTTACTTTTTGGCCTCCTTTTTGAGAATTAAACCTAAAGCTGAGTCTTGAAGACATTTTTCTACATATCAGAAAGGACTACTTATACTTGAAAGGAAAGGTATTAATTATTTTTTTTTAACCACAGAATGCCAGAGATATTCACACCCTGCCCAGCAGAATGGGTGAAAAGCCAAAAATGTATGGGTTTTTCCTTTGATATGAAAATATTTGCACAGTTCTGATAAAGATTTAGAGCCTTAGTTTCCAAGATAGCACCCCTGTTGTTAATCCCATCTGTACTCTGTGGGATATCTCTAGTGACATACCACTAACATTGGAGGTAAAAATAGGCTCTTTTGCTGAGCGACGGTAAGAAACAACAAGCCTTCTGCTGTGGTTAAAGTTATCACATAGTCATATTCATTTACATGCTGCTCATGCTGACCTATCTCAACTCACAGAAAACTGAGAGTAGGTACAAACAGCTTCGGGGAGAACATTTCTTTATGTTGTGCAAAATCAATGCTTGAATCTTCCAGGTAGATGCAATGTGAAAGTGGCTTTTTATTCTTTTTTTTTTTTTTTTTTTTTTTTAGGATTTCTAGGCGTTTTCAAAGATTTTTATTCACTAATGTGAATAAAATTTGTGATTTAAATTAGTATTAAAGTGTTGGGAGATCAGCAGCAGTTGAGAGATGCCTCTCCGGAGCACTGTGGGGTTATTTGATGCAGATTGATGGGGTGGTATTTGAAAGCACGACATTTTTCCTTTCAGTTTATGAGAGATGTATTGAAATTATTGATCTGGCTTTGAACATCCGTTAATGTCCAGTTAGCTTTTGCAAATGACTCTTGGGTTTTCTGTGTGTGTCTTGATTTCAGCCCCACCCCCGCTAAGCTAACGAAACGCTAATTTCAAATAAATGTTTTGCAATATAGATGTGAAATGCTGTCCTACCTTCAGCATCTTTAACCATCTTGCCTGGCACTTTGCTGTCATTCTGAGCTTTGCTTTCAAACCTGTCCTTTCCTTCCTTCCCACTCCCTGCCAAAAAATCCAACCAGCCTTGCTGCAGGTTACACGTGTATTAAATATACCCTGACCCAGAAAGAGCCATTGCTGCCATAGCCCCATGGCTAGAGCAGGTGCGATTTAAAACACACACACACACACACACATGAAAAAATAACTGCTTTGCTTCACGGAGTCTTTATTTATACAAAGCGGAGCAAACCTGGGAGAAGAGCATCAGCTAGAGCTGCTGCACTGTGGCCAGCAGTCGTTTCCCTTGGGAAGTGGGATGTTATCGTTCACATCTGATTTAAACCTGTTGACTGCCACAAACGCTAAGCTGTTACCTGTTTATATGTGTTTGTCTTTCATTTTCCTGTTGTAAGCTCTCTGGTCAAGCTATTCTGCAAGGTAATTCCTGATCTGTTCTCTACATTGGGTACCTGAAACATTGCACAGAATTAGTATACGCTAGGTGGGAGCAAAAGATGAAAGACTTAGTTCACTTGTTGGCAGCTGTGGAGCTTTACTAAAGCAAATTCTTTAATTTAATTAATTTCCCAACCTGAGACTGAAGTGCCTGTGTGCTCAGTAGGCAAATCCCTTGTGGAAGATGCTGGCTCAAACCACACACGATGAGGAGAAAAAGGCGGTGGCAATGCAAAGCTGGCAGGGGTATAAGGATTTATTTGGGTTAACAGTAGAGGAGCGGGGATGGTCCATCAGCAAGCAGGTGATGGGGAAGCAGCACAGCGGCCACCCTGCCGACTGGAGGAGCCGGCCGGTTCGGTACCTCCGTCTGGCGCCTCTCACCCCGTGGGTGTTAATGGAACCACTGGGGAGGACGGGGGGAGCGATGCTGAAAGTCCTGCCACTTCTGCAGGGCAGCGCCTGTCTCCAAACCTGTAAAGGATCTTGCTGATGCTGGTTGGTAATTGCACTCCTGCCCCTATTTCATGCCCGTGGTCTGTAAGTAATGGCATGCTGTGTTTAAATTGAATATATTTGTGTGCTTGTGTAGAACCTGCAGGATCTGGTGTGGATGTTCCAGCCTCAGTGATTACATAAAGTTATTAAAACCATTTTACAACACATAATGATCATCATAGGTACAGTTAGAAGCTTTTGTTTTGAACTGCTTGTCTTTTAAAATAAAACTTTTTTTTTTTCTTTTCTGTTTTCTTTTTTTAAACAAAACCCTTATCTGCTGGTGAACAGGCATCGGAGGAAGTGTCAAAATCTCTGCAAGCAATGAAGGAAATTCTGTGTGGGACCACAGACAAGGAGCCACCTACAGAAATCGTGGCTCAGCTGGCGCAAGAGCTATATAACAGTGGCCTTCTAGTGACGCTTATTGCCAACCTGCAGCTGATAGATTTTGAGGTAGGTCAGCGTCCATAAACCTTTTCATCTCCTTGGTCTCAGCGTTGTCAGTGAGTAGAGCTGTATTTTTCGGAAGTCTAGATAATTCTATTGCATTTGAAACTGTTTTTCACATGCTGAAGAAAGTAGCTGCTGTAGATTGGTCAGAGTCCTGGTAGAAGTGCTTATACGCTGGAAGTAATGATTTGGGTTTTTTTATCAAAACGAAAAACAATAAAGAAATATTGCCACGTGTATCCAAGCAAGATAGGAAATGATGCTGAGAATACTGTCTGTGACCGACCTTATAAGCTACAGTGATGAACCTCTTTGGGACAGTGCAACTAGAGCCAACTGCCATCTCTGAAGTGTGTCCGATTTAGAAGGGGTCCAGGGACATGGAATAAAAATAATTGGAAGCATGGGAAAAATCTCATGTGAAAAAGACTGAAAAACTTTAGGATGGTTTAGTTGAGAGGAAAGGAGTTGAAAAAGGTGTTAAGAACTGACAGCAGGTGGCAAGGTAGATTGGGTTGCCCCCACTTAATTCTTTGGATTAAAAGAAGAAAGGAATAGAATTTTTTTTCCAGCAGAATGATTAATATGAATATATATGTATATATAAATTATTTAATTTTATATATTTTTATAAAATTATTTTTATTTTTATATATTTATATATTATATTTTCTATATTTATATATAAAATTATATATTCTATGGAACTCCTTGCCAGTTTTGTTGTTAAGGCCAAAAGCTTAGTAGACAACTACTAAGACAACTGAACTTGCTTATAAATAATAAGAAGAGTTATGGTAGAAAAGACTGCAGTAGTTCAGGATAAATATAAACCCTTTTAACTGACCTTTGATTAGTATGGACTGGGAAGAAACTTCGTCACTGGCAGGTCATTATAGTATTCCTGTGGTCTACAGTCAGCCGGGATAGCGGTCCCCAGGGACTGCTGTTATGAGTCCTGTGATTTCTATGGCTGCCGGACGCTGGTGAATCATCACAAGTGTCCGAGCATCTCCGAGCAGTGAGAAGTCTCAGCTCCCAGGAACCTCCACCGCTGAGGTCTGTAGCAGGAGCAGTGCCCAATGTATAGGGCAGGGCGGCCACTGAATTTAAAAATCAGCTCCCTGGAGAGATCGTCTGATGCTCTCAGAGCCACCTTTTGTGGGAGTTACTTTCTTGTGGAAGTTTTCTCCCCTTATTGAAGTTATTTGTTGTTACTTTACTTTTCTTTCTATTTTGTAAATGAATGAAAGGGAGGAACGGTGGGAAACTTTTATGTTTTCTTTTTCCCCCTCTTCCCCCCACCCCCAGTAAAGCCAGGATTCAAGGGACTAATTTATTTATTTTGTATTAATTTTTGAAAATGTTGTTAGTGGAGTTCTGTCACTCTTCCTCAGGTCTTAAGTTCAGGAGATTTTTTTTTTTTTTATGCTAGAATTTATTGAGATCCTTTCATTGTGTCCCTGCCACCCCTGGTTACTGTTAAATGTCTTAATTACAAAAAAAAAAAAAAAATCCCAACAACCCAAAACCCTAAAAATCCAGTAATGTTTGTTTGTTTTTAAGAAAAAAGGAGAGGGGGGAGGAGAAGATACTGTTAGCAAATGCACCACAGAAGGGAAACTACTGCATTTTTTTTAGTTACCTGACAGTCTGTATTGCTTTTGTCAGACAAAAAATTCTGTATGGACAAAATGAACCCACAGGCTTCAAATGCAGGCACTGAATGAAATACCCAATCTGTTGCTGAATTACCGTTGTTGCAAACAATTCTAATAACTCTTATTGCAAAATAGATTTTTCCATGATAAAACCTTTTCAATCACTTAGCAAAGCTGTTATACATACTCTTTTGGCAAAACAGTAGAAACGAAATGTCATTGAACAAGAGGATAGTAAGAGCCTGTGCTGCTTTGTCTTCATATTCCCATTGACTTTTTCAGTTTATCAACTTTTCTGCTTCCATTTTGTTATATTGGTGGCCACAGCTGGCATTTAGGTTTCTTTGTTAAACAAGCAATTTGATCACTTCATAACACGTGAATTAATTTTTTGATCTGTATGGAATAGTAGAAAGCAAAATCATAAATTACTTGAAAATGTGATTTCTGAAGGGAATAGTGTTTATGTAGGTTACTTTGTTTTGTCCTGACTCCCTGTCTCCTCCTCACCAACTCACTGCCCACTTTGATCCCAGTTTTGCACAGCTGCGCTTCTCTTTGAAGATATGTTTTCAAAGACTTCATGAAACTTGATGGCTGTTTAGAGGAGCGAGACCAGAGTTAATGCCCCCACCAAGAAAAAGGCCGAAGCACAGACTCAAGTCCTGTCCCATTTGTGTTTCATCTGCCAGTACACTACCAGCACGTGTGGCTGGGGGCGGGCGGGCGTGCGTGTAGGGGAGACTTGCATATATCCATCACACGTCTGTAGAAAACACAGGTTTATTGCTTCTGCCACTCAAGAAACAAGATATAATTTTGGTGATGGTATTGTTATGAAGCACTAAAGTTAGGTTTGGGCAGGAGCCCAGAATCAAGATCAGACTGGATTGTTTGAAATTTAAAATATGAAGTTTATTGTTGAACTTTAAGAACTGAAGAAAGTGTTCATACAGAAAAAGTCAACTGAAAAAATAGACGTTACTAACTGCGTGTAAGCCTAAAGGTTCACAAGCTGTAAAGCCACTAAAAGAGGCAGTAAATAGCCAGAAGCCCAGGACTGGTGACATTAGCAGCTCTCCCTTACTTTGTCTTGAAATGAGCTAAATTATAGTATAGGTATCATGCAATTTGTTATTTATATAATGGCATCCTTTGCAGTTTTTTTTGTTGTTGTCTAGCCACTTTCTCTTCATGCTGCCTTATCTTGTGCTTCAGTGGCCATATGTATTTCATTATAAGGCAAAACTGAATCACAGATCCAAGTAAGAAGCATTGCAAAAGTATTCCTACAATTTTTATAGATGTCTGGTGGTGAGGGAAGTCTGCCTTGGTTCCCTCCTATCTGCCTCCATTCCCTCCAGGAAAACCCAGAGAGACCAACTTCTCTGGCTTTCACCATCGCTGATCTCTAGAAAATTGGATATAATTGGATAATCTCCTCTCTGCTATTGGATATAATGCTGCAGTGCACCTAATATTAAGTAACTAATATAAAATCTGGCATAGCAGAGAGGATCACTTAATTTTTGGCCATTTTCACCTGGCCCTTTCAACAGCTCTTCTCTGTCTGGATCGTTTTCGTCTTGGAGTAACTGCTGAAGCCGCTGGGGATCACAGGATTCCAGGCATACGTTACGGGTGTTGTAAAGATAGGGAAGAATGGGATGACTTTATAAAGAATTAGCCTAATTAAAAGAATGTCCAAGGGTCAAAAGTGTTGCAGACAAAGGCAGATGGACTGGCCTGCTCTGATTTGATTCTCCTATTTAATTCCCTGAGTCCCCGAGTCTCCAAGCCAGCTGGGTTGGAACGAGTAGGAAAGGAGAATATTTTGTGTTTCTCAGCAGTGATTTATTTGTAGAGGTGAAACCAGGGAATTTCCCTCTGTGTGAAACTGTCTGCTCCTTGGCTTCAAATGTTCAATAAGTTCTCCGCCAAGGAATGTTTGTCCTCTCGAGACAGATCAATGTGCATGTACAGATTATAAGTAACCTTTTGCTTTAGCTTGCCCTGTGCATAGTGACCCGCTGTTGACTCAGTGCCTTGGTTACTGGTCATTAGTGCAGCAGTCTCCCCCCTTCCATTAATTTCACAAATCAATTTGTCTCCTGTGGCCAGGGGAGAAAGCGGTGGGGGAGGAAGAGGACTTCTAATGCAAGATGTATTGGCAAACCCTGTGGCTGAATAGAACATAATTTGGAAGGGCCTTCTGAAAAGCTGTTTGCACGGGGAGGCGTTCGAAGACAAAACGTGATTGTGCAGATGTGTGTATATAGGAGAAAATTAGGATAAAGCGAAGGATCTTAGTTGTGACTGGTGCAGAGACATGTACGTGATGCAGCCTTTCTATCAGTAGTAATTATTTCATTCTTCATGATGAAATAATGGGCGCAGTTTTAAATTTAACCCTGATTTTCAAAAGTGCAATCACACATGGCGTTGATTGCATATGACTAATGAAAAGCTTTAGCTTTGTAAGTCTAGGCTGTGGGGCTATGTACTTGGTACTAGCTTGACAGCTTAAATTTGGAGGCTGTGGGAGCAATAGTACAAACATTGCAAAAACACATTTAGCTCAGGATAGTGGCTTGCTTTTTTGGTACTTAAATGTTGCTATTTAAGATAGCCAGGGACTTGCTTGACAGAATAAGGGGGATGCACATCTTCATTTAGAAAGCGAGAGGTGTAAATGGGAGTGGGGGGATCGGTAGTCTTCAGAGCCACCCAACAGAAGAAGCCTTCGTGTGATGTTGAAGAAACAGCAAGTGTGAGGTGGTGGGACTGTGGAGAGCCCAAAAAGAGACCGACCTTTTCTTGTTTTCAATTTCATTTCTACTTTAGAGATTATAGTAAATGGTCATTTGTTCATGTTTTTTCCAGCTGAAGATATATTTTGCTTCTTTAACAGGGCAAAAAGGACGTTTCCCAGATATTTAACAACATCTTGAGAAGACAAATCGGCACACGCAGCCCTACTGTGGAATACATTAGTGCCCATCCACATATCCTATTCATGCTTCTAAAAGGGTGGGTGCTTTAAGCTGATTTTCATTAAAGAGCATTGCCTGGACCATGCTGGCATTGCAGTTGATCTACTTTCTTACTTTTAGTTTAAAAAAAAAAGGATTTTCAGATTTTGTTCCAGATTCCTTATTTTGTTTCTTTCATATTGACTTTCTTTCTACTTAACTGTATGTTTTTTAATGACTGGATTATTTTATTTGGCTGTTATTTCTTCAGCAAACTTCATGTTGGAATAATTATGTGCTGATTGTTTTTGACTTCTCCCCACGTGACCTGTACTTCGGTTCTTGCCCTAACTCTTGTGTGTCTTTGTTGATGACTGCTGACTTTCATTTAGACTTTTTTGCATTGCAGGAGTGACTTACAGTGGTGTCTATAAATAACTGGAGTCAAATGCTGGACCACCATGTGGTAGAACAGAGAGAAGCAAAAATGCATAAAAAGAATAGTTGTGTCTGTGGGGCAGACTTCTTCAATGCTTGTAGCCACATGTGAACTTCACCTTTAAATTAATTCAGTAATGAACTCCATGACTTTCAGCATTAAATCTTTTTTTTTTTTTTTGTCTTTTAATCTTTGAGGGAGTCAGTGCTCAACTGTAACCCGGTGGTTCCCAAGGTAAGTTGGCCAAGGAGGGGGAGTAGACTGCTGTGTGGAGAGGACATCAGCTGTAGTTGCATTCAGGGGTGCACAAGTGTTGGCCTAAAACTCTTGAGGTTTCTGTCCCCTTTACTTTTGGCCAAAAGCACCTTCCATTCGGTGAGAAGCTTTGCTTTTCCAGCCCTTGAAGTCTACTGTTTTCTGCTCAGTTTTCTGTGGTTTGCTAAACCACAGATGCCAAAGAAGCCAAAACGTCAGGATTTTTTTTTATTTTTTCCCTAAGGAAAGGAGAATATATGTGATTGGGATTAAAGAACTGATGTAGAAATAAGTGCATTTATTAGCTGATCAGTATGAAGCAACGTGGACTCTCATAGTAGTTATATGGTCACACTAGCAACAGCCATTCAAAAACATGACGTAAAGCCTTTTAAACTAATGGTTCTTAAGAGAATGATTTTTTTTTAAATGTCTTTCTTCCCCTTGAGGCTTAAGATTTGCGTTTTTACCATTTGCTCCACAGCCAGAGTTAGGAAAATACTTAAGTACCATCTAAGGTTTGTGCATGACAAGGCTGCAGCCCCAAGGGTAAAATCCTCTTCAGCCTCCCCCTGCTCCCAGGGGCAGACCAGAGCTAGAAGAGAGACAGGCGCGGGAGTCCTCTAAAATAGTTATTTCCTTCAAAATTGGCCACATTCCAGCACCGCTGAGCAGGGAAAAAAATAACCGAGAGAACTAGTCAGTACCAGGGATTTCAAGAAGAAGCTTGTGGTTGACCGTGGTGGCAAAGCTCTTGGTTGCTGCAGTAGGAAGAGGTGTGGACTCGCTGCCTTCCTCGCAGGCAGGGTGGTGGGGAGCCCGGGCAGGTGGCTGGGCTGCGCTAGGTCTTGCTCTTACAAGTATAGTGATTTGTCGTGATTTAGCTTTAATTTTGAAACTCTTGACTTGTTTTGTGTTACTGAACGCCAGCTTCCTCACAAAGTAAACCAATAAGCTGGTTAAATAGATTTTGGTTTCATTTGTTCATTAAAATTCACTATTTATATGAACCTCAAACTAGTTGTTTCAGGACAGTGATGATGATAATTGTCTCAGTCGTCGTTAAGTTGTACAACTGTTTGCAATTTCATGTATAGATACAATCGTTTTCCTCCCTCTTCTCTGTCTTTGCTTTTGCAATCTCCTCCTCACTTTTTCACTCATTTTGTTTTGCACATTGCGCATGTATCGCTACCATATGTCTGGGCTTTATTTAAAGCTGAAAAATATTTTTGGATCACGGCCCAGATATTCTTTGGCATCTGTAACAACCAAGAATATTAAGATGATAGTAAAGATTTTATGTTATGCATATGTACTGCTGACAGACATTTTACTGTAGGTGACCTGAGCCAGTGGATGTATTTAAATGGCATCACTTAGGTCCTTTTTTGGAGATTGCCGCTGTGTGCAGCAGCGTGTCCATGTTCGTCTGGTCCTCAGGCTCCTTGTTCTTGATTTCTTGGCTATCTCTTTGGAGCACTGCACTGTATCAGAATTGCCATTTCTGGAGTTTCTTGTTAGAAAGTGCTCTTAAATTCAGCAGCAGCAGTCCAGAAGACAGTCCTATCCAAGCCCTGACGGTATCTGAGCAGCTGCTGCAGAACAGCGTAATGGTGTCAAACGCAGTGCTGCCTTACCTGCCTGTGTCCTGCTGCCAGGACTGTCTAAAAATGATACTTAAAATACGTGCCTAAAGCAAGGGTAGGGCCCCAAACACGCAGCTTGCCGTGCGCAGGCAGAGTGCGGGGCTTGTGTGCAATCAGCTGTGAGACTGGGAAACACGCCCTTCATGTTAGACACCACCACTTCAAAACGTGAGTTGCGGATGAAGTTAATTGAAATATATGATACCAAAATCTGATTAAAGGAAAGGAAAGTGGATTTTGCTGGCTTGTACCATTCAGTGTTTTTTATATGGCATTATTTGGAGGGAAAAAAAAAATTCAACCATGACTATAAAAGAAACAGCCTGGGTCTATTGTGAAGGCTTGTCATTGTTTTACTTGTATTGGATGCAAAATTTCCCAACCACATCAACAAAAGGTTGCTTTTTCATTGCATAATGTGAGCTCTGTTGAGTGGGAAGGATCCTGAATCAGAGCTCCCGCCCGGTGTTTCCTGCCTAATACTCCAGCGGCACTGCCAGCTTGAGATAACTGTTCTTACCTTTTAGGCTTCATTTTACTTGTTGGCTACTTCCTTCCAGCTTGTCAGCTTCAGAAAAACATACAGCACATAGTTCACTACTTTTTTTGTTCTTTTTTTTTTTGTAGGTTAATTGACCTTCCTGCTGCATGAGGACTTGCTTTAATAGTGTCTTATTTTCTGTGTGTGCAGGCTTTATGTATGAATACAATTTCAGATGAATACAATGTCTGGTGTATATAGAATACTGGATATATTCGGGCCAAATTTTTCTCCGGTGTCAGCATATTGCATTAGCCCAGAAATAACTTTTGTCCTTTGTAATTTAAAATATTTTTGCTCTAGTACCGTGACTGTAGAGGACTTGAAGTTTGTGGCATTTGCATTGTTTCTCACAAGTGACAAATTTATAAGCTCCTTTGTGAATATATATGATGCCACATGCTATCTAATGTACTCAGTAACTGCCCCAATCTGTTTTGTGATGATCTCTTCATATCACAGTGCAGTTAAAGCTTTAATGTTATATTGGCTAAAGTTGCAGAATTCCCCTTGAGTTTATCCAAGGATAAACTCAAGCTATAGAAGTTAGTGTAAAATCAGATCAGGATATAGCTGTTTGTCAAGACCTCGTGCCTCTCAGGCTCGATGCCTTCCTCATCTGCCTGTGCTCCCTACCTTGTACCATCTTCTGCCCTAGCCGCACAAGTATGATTCCCTTTGCGCTGAGATGTGTCTCTGTTCTCAGTCTTGCCTCTTTCAGCCTCCACACTAAGTATTTTGAAATATTTCAAGTCCATTATTTCCTTTTCTGGTTGCCCCTGGTAGTCAGTATGTGGGCGTTTCTTTAGGTTGTAAGCTCATCTGAACACAGGAGAACTCTGTATTTTTTTTCTGCTGCAGGAGTATGTCAGCACAGAGCACTAATTGCTCATTAGAAGTGATTTTGAAGCACATCTCTCTCATTCCTGCCTGGTGGCTTTGCATGTAAGTGTGGGTGCAGAGAACATGCCAGTTATGACCAGGCAGCCCGTAAACTTCTTCCAGGCATATTCCAGGAGCCAAACCCAACTTCCCTCGCCTATGTGAACAGCCAAAGGTCCATAACCCGCTTCCAGATAATGGAGCATTTGACTAAGAATGATTCTGTTGATACTTGTGTTTTAAAAAGTTATTGTGCTGGAAACAATGTAATTTGCTTTTATTCCAACCAAAATATTCCGTAGCCAACTATGAAATATTTTCCTGGCTGCACTCCTAGGAGCAACTCCGCCTCTTTTTTGCTTGAAAATTAGTATTCCTGTTGATGGAGTCGAGGAGAGGTACGCCTCAACAGAAAACATCAGCGAATCTCTGTTGTCTAAAGAGTTATAAATTCACGTTTGCAAATGTTTCCCAAAAGGAAACAAACAGGGGCTTGAGTGCCTGCATTTCCTTGAGGGTGGGAAGTTTCATTTGCCTGTTTGGAATAGCAATTCATTTTTCATTAAACCAACTATTGTCGACATCAGGTTGAAGTATGCAGCTCTGGTATGCTCGCAAAACACTACCGTTCTTTTAAATTGCAAGCTGGTGGTAAATTTGAGGGCCCACTCACTTACAGCACAGATGGCATTTTGTGCTTTTCTTCTTTTTTCTCCTCTTTTGGCCTAGTGATAGGAATTAATTGTGCAAAGGAAAAACGATGCTGATAAGCTCCGGGTGATAATACACAGTTCTGATATAGTATAGCCAGCTCATTGAAACAGAGCGTGCTTTCTGTCCCCTTGGACTTCACCGCTTTCACATGACTGAAGATTGCTGGAAGAAGTTACTTTTAAGTCCTTCCTGACTGTTGGATTTCATCCTTTCTTTTTTTTGTTTTAAATTGTGTTTCTAACAGTTTTGTTTCAGATTAATTTCAGCTTTAAAGAAATCAAGACTTTATAGAAATAGAAAATGATCTGAATTGCCTCCCCCCTCCCTCCTTCTCCAAGATTGAGCAGTGTGCTGACTCCTGCCTATGGCAATGTGTGTGCCACAATCGGATTGTAACTTGAGGAACACATACTTGTCTCCTGAACAAAGTCGTAGCCTCTGCAGAGGAGGAATGGAGCAGAATTCCTCCTAAACTGCAAAAAAGATCTTCAGAGCTACAGAAAGCTTGTGCAGACTGCCTGGACAGGCTCTTCCTACCATCCTCGTTAGACATTAATATTCTAGAGCAATGTTCTCTAGAAGAGGAGTGGGAGGTGGTGGATGGTCATGAGGTGTTCTGTTTTTCTTGGATAAACTGAGGAGCTCAGAAGTAAATCTGAAAAGGGACATTGTTATATTGTATGGGCTTTGCTTTCTCATAAATCTAAAAGGGTGAAGGAGCTCTGTTGAAACGTTATGCACTCCCCACGGTCTTTCCGCAGAGAGGAGGCGTAATGCACATTTACACCGAAATGTGTTTTGCCTTGCGAAGGCAGAGGTTTGCGATGGGAAACACTGGCAGCCTTATCTGTGTGTCTGCTCCTTAGCTTGGGCTGAGGTCCTGAAGCTGGGTACAGTGCTCTGGCTGGGAGCTGCCATCTGTGTGTTGTGTTCCCTCTGGCACACGCGTTTCTTATGCTACAAAGTTCCCCATTGCTAGAAAAGTGCCTGTTTAGCTTTGTTCTTCTGCGTTTTGATCTCTTCTGTTTCTTTCCATTCTTCAGATATGAATCCCCAAATATTGCCTTACGCTGTGGAATTATGCTGAGAGAGTGTATCCGGCATGAACCCTTGGCCAAAATCGTACTTTTTTCAGAACAGTTCAGAGACTTTTTTAAATACGTGGAAATGTCAACATTTGATATAGCTTCTGATGCTTTTGCTACATTCAAGGTAAATTATTCAATACCTGCATCATAGCGTTGCGTCAAGAATGGCACTCCATCAGTAGTCATCACTGAATGTTGTGTTGCCTTTAAACTGGGTGGCTTTTTTATTGTTCTGTAAAGGATATGATTAATCCTCGGTCTGTTTGTAACAGGATTCACAACAGTGATTGAGTCTGCAAAGAATCTTTAATTCAATACAGATTTACATTTCACTAATGTTCTTCATCTTGATAACCCAAGGCCTTTTATGCAACCATTTAAAGCTCAAATTAATCATGTATTATGTACAGTTCTTGTAAAATGCATAACCTTTTTCTCTCCCTACCTTCCCCCGGAGATGAAACCACTACCTATCGTGACCACAACCAGTAAATAGAAGGAATCATTTAAAATTCAGTTTTAAAATCCTCTAGTTTTTGCTGCCCCTTCTGAGTTCGGCAGTCAAGTTTAGACTAATGCCGTGCCTGATGATTATTTTACAACTTATTTGTATGCTTGCTTTTGTGACCCATGGTTCAGTGTAAGGACCGTACTGCTACAAGCTAAGTAGGTGAAAGCACCGTGTAGACTCTGTGTAGAGTCTCTGCGTTGTATTAAAAATGAAGTTGGGTGAAGCTTGCCAAATTTCTTGGAGTTTGTATGTGATCATCACCTTGCCTGCCAGGTGCTAGTATAGTCTTTGAGCAAAAAGGGAAGATTAGTCTATTTCTGAAAAATAATTTAAGAAAGCTGGGGAAAATTCTTTTCAGGTAAAGACTCTTCTAAATATAGACATAACTCCTTCTTTCTTCTATCACTGGGTTCCTTGCTGTCATAGAAACACGTTCATTCTTTCCTCTCAGAGCTAATTAGAAACATGATTAGATAGACCTTAGGAATAACTGTAAGGAATGAGTTCAGCTCAGCGATTCAACGCATCCTGAAACCTGGCCTCAGTTTTTACTAACCTACTGAATGCGGTAAAGATTTGCATAATGGAGATAACCTTGCATTCGTCAGTAATGAGTTGAGCAGGATTACCAATTCAAACACTCGTTAACAAATAGCAGCATCTTTCAAGTATTTTAAGTTGCACTGTCATTGTGTGTGTTAGCTAAATGTTATGAAAGTGGAAGTAGCACAGAAATACAGACAAGCAAAAATATATGTGCAGGACTGTATAAAAATGCAGCTGAGGTCTTTAAATCCTCTGTCTCTGGCATTTTACCCTGTGCTCGGAAGAGTATTGGTTTCTCGTCAGAAAAAGTGCTCCTGGACTCTGTTCCCAGCTTGGCAGAAGAGATCTGCATCTTTTGTCCAGGTCCTGCTTTGAGGACGACAGCAGAGTGTGTGGTTGGTGATGGACAGTCTTCACCCCAGGCAGGATGGGGACAAGGGTCAGTTAAGCTGCGGCAAGGACCACAGACTGCTGCGACCCTCCCCAAAAAAGAGGGATTGATGTCGTTCACAGATCTACAGCTGTGGTACTTACTTCTGTCCCCTGTGATCCGAGTGTATTTTTAGCAGGATTTAAAAATAGGATTCTACGTCCTCACGTGCACTGGAAAGAGAGGAGTATGAGGGCAGATCATCCTCAGACATAGGTCAGAAATCACCTTTTAAAATGCTTGGGGAAAACCTATAAACTGCATTTTTTTTAAATTGCCTCTTATTTTAAATTGCCTGACTTGATACATGGTCAGTTCTGGAAATAAACCGGCTGTTCATCTCATCTCCTATTTGTCTGTTACTCTGAATAGCTGGAACAGCAAGAAGTGATGTGGAAGCAACTGAACCATGAAATGTGGAGCTACCTCATTTCTAATACTGTAAAAATAAGTGCTACGATTGCTCGCTGGCTGGATTACTGAACTCATGTTTTCAGTTCTCTTTCCCCCATGTTGGGTTTGTAGTGTTGCCACCAGGGTGTCTGGTTCAGAGCTGAAAGCCTTGGATAGTCTATGCACCAGAGGAGGGCTTAATTAAATGTGCATTTAAGTCTGAGGATATTTATAGTAGGGAAGTATTGGAATTTTTGATGATCTGGAGATGTACTTCTTAATTAAATTCAGCCAGGTGCACTGCAGAGAGGAAACAGAGCTGCTAAAAATGCAGAGGAAAGCAGCTTGTATTTAGAGATACATTTGGCTGTGGAGGGTACCCGCAGCAGTTGGGAAGAGTGCTGATTGAATACTGCTGCTCCAGGCTCTCTTGTGATTTTGTATGAAAAACTCATTTTGGATTATATTCCATTTGTGCCCCCTATTGAAAAATGTTGTACTTGCCTCTTAAGTGCCCTGCATAAAAGCTTGTGAATCACATTTGTTGCACTCAGCCTTTTAAACTGCTATTATTGCAGTCCTGCTAAATAAAGGAATGTATTAAAAACATGTACTGGATTTTATAGCACTCTGCTTTCCTCTTATAATGGATGGTAAAAATAAATTAAAGGATTAGTATGTAAAGGATTTCTTTCATTTGTGGTGCTGTAGAGGATGTCTCTCTGCATCTGCTTCAGCTACTCATCAGCTTCAGTCTCTGACTGTGGGTAAGGAGACCAGGGAAAAGGTGATTAAAAAGATAGCAACTGATTCACCGAAAAAATTCCGACTTGAATGGACTTCATCAGGCATTTACTGTGATCAGCGTTATGTTTTAAAGGAGGCAATAAGATAACAATTAAACTTAAATGCCTCAAACTGGCCACTTTATTTCATAGCTATTCATCCAATAAACAAACCTGATTTCTGCTGGAGCTGAACATTTGCATCTCCGTTGCTGAGCACCAGCATTCTTGTTCTGTGGGAGAGGTTGCTTTAATTTAAATTCGAATTAGTTGGCCTTTTAGGATGGGATGCCTCCCATGAAGCTTTAGCTGTCTTAAAGGTCTGCTCCTGCTTGTGTCAGTAAGCCCACCCTGGGCAGAAAACCACCCACAGAAGAAATTCATCCCACCTACCTGAGACCCCTTTCTGGGGATGGAGTGGCTGTGGAGGGAGCCTGGGTGGCTAGGTTAGATCGGTGCCTAACTTTTAGGTTTGAAATAAATGAATAAATATATCCAGTAGTTGAACTGAGTCTGCATGGTATTCATTGGAGATGAGCAATAGCAACTGATCAAACTTAGCATAATTTTCCAGCTGCGGGGTAGCATGTAGATCACTTGGCTTTGGGACCATAGCTGATCCCTCCATAAAGGGTTAATTTACTGTCTTCCTTTCTGCCACCCCAGTTTATTGTGAGTACTGTGCACGATGACCTTAGGAAAAGGTGGGAGTCAAAAGGAATATAAAGAGTGAGTGTTAGAATAGTTTTATATTGATTCTGTGAGCATTCACTGAATTCTCCTTAAAATCCTAATAAACACACAATGCAGTATTGTTTTTAAATGCTTTCTGTCTATAGAAATCATGTTGTAAATACCTTCTAAACGATGACCTGGTAAAAAATGTTAAAATACATTTGAGAATCAAGGGACAATCAAATGAGCATGCTCTCTCAGGTAACCTTTCTCTGTTCTTCCCCAGGACCTGTTAACGCGACACAAACTGTTGGTAGCAGAATTTCTGGAACAAAATTACGATGCGGTAAGTGTAAATGAAAGAACAATTTTTTTTTTTAAATCTGTTTGTGCTTAGCTGGAAAAAGTTCCATGCTTCACGTAAAGTAGTCACATAGGACTGCAAAACTAAACATTGCTCTTACTAAAGCAGAATCCTCCTGTGGCGTTTGAAATACAGGTACCCCCTCTGCACACACACGGGGGCACGTGCCAAGGTTTCAGTAGCACTCATAGTTTAAAAGCAAGTTTTTCTCCTCTCTGCATGCATCATATCTCCTCATATGTGAATGGAACTGTCAATTTTGTATTTAAATAGATCATGGGGAAAAAAGCATGCACATTTTTAGTTCTGTGATATTCCAGCACCGACAGCGACCATACCTATATATCATATATAATACTTTGGCACAGAGGAGAAGAGTTACTGGATGAAGTTTTAGCATTTCTGGAAATTACACGTACCTAACTGGGGGACTGAGGTGTGAGTGTTCCTCTTACCATCCTAAGGCAATTAGTCCCTTGGTTTCATGCCATTTTTCACTTTGATTTTTTGGCTCGGTTTTGAACCAAACGTCGGGCAGAAAAATTCCACTGGAATCAACTAAAATTGGACTGATACAGATCATGGAATTATACTATGGGTTATGTTCTCATGTTACCTGAGGTATTCTTTTATTTCATTGCCAAACTGAAAAGGCCAAAGTCTATTTCTTCCATTCTAGAGTTACCAAGAAGGTTAAATAAAGATCAGGCTTATTATTGCTGAGTCAAATGCAGCTTAACTGGAGCAAAAGTAGTGTCTCTGCTAATCTTTTCTCTTAGTACTGAAGCACTCCATTGGAACAGTCCTCATTCTACCTTTATTTAACATTTAAAATTTTAAGTATAAATTGTGGAAGTGAGCATTTTTTGATGATTCTTGGACAGCAGTGTTGGGGTTTTTTGCTTGTTTGGTAGATGGTTTGAACGTATTGTAGCATTCTCTCTCAGTCTTCTTGACCACAAGATTCCCTTGGCCCAACCCTGCAAAAGCCAGCACATGCTTGGCTCCTAGCGACCCTCGTTGTGGAAACAGCTTTAATGAACTGCTCAACTAGGAGCGGCTGAGGGAACTGGGGTTGTTCAGCCTGGAGAAGAGGAGGCTGAAGAAAGACCTTATCGCTCTCTACAACTACCTGAAAGGAGGTTGTAGCCAGGTGGGGGTCAGTCTCTTCTCCCTAGTAACAAGTGATAGGACGAGAGGAAATGGCCTCAAGTTGTGCCAGGGGAGCTTTAGACTAGATATTAGGAAAAATTTCTTCATGGAGAGAGTGGTTAGGCATTGGAACAGCCTGCCCAGGGAAGTGGTCCAATCACAGTCCCTGGAAGTATTCAAAAAACGTGTGGATGTGGTGCTTAGGGACATGGTTTAGAGGTAGACCAGGCAGTTAGGTTCATGGTTGGACTCGATGATCTCAGAGGTCTTTTCCAACCTTAATGATTCTATGATTCAAGGCAGGTGGCACCTCACAAGAGGAGTTTTTGGCATACGCCAGTATGGGATGCACCATCACCCGTTTGGGGTATTGCGTTGAATCACAAAGCAAGTCATGACCACGATGTGAGTGAGTGGACATTACACGCTGGACCCATGTGTCCTGGCAGCAGATTCACCGTCTTGTAAGAGAAGGCTGTACAGGCACTGGCTTACTTCTGTCCTAGTTGGCTCGCACTAGCTCCTGTTACACCAGTCCATATGTGGTATCCCTCTCTGCAGTATTTGGAAGAGGAGAGTTCCTGGGCATTAATTCACTGCATGATAACCAGCCAAGAAAAAAGGCCGCGAGAGCTGGGCCTGGCATTGCAGTGAAGCGTTAGAGGGTGGCATTGCTGCAGCCTCTGCTGTTGCTCTGGGGCGGGAAGGACCGGGAAGAGGAAGGATGAATATGAATCAGATGCATTTGTGTTTTCTTGTTACTCTAGATCTTTGAGGATTATGAAAAACTCCTTCATTCTGAGAATTACGTAACAAAGAGACAATCTTTGAAGGTAAAGTAAAGTTTCTCAGCACTTTCCTTCTAAATTTGAACTCCACATTATGCAGAATATCAAGATGCATGTATGGCAATGGAGCAGCCATGTACTTTCTGACAAAACAAAATAAGTGTTTGGGGATGCTGCTCCTACAGTGCACAAGAGCTCGCTGTGACTTTTATGTCCTGGATCTCTTGTGAAGCACTGGGCCGTTTCTATGAACAAGCACTATCATTTTTCTTCTGACCTCAAATCTGTACTTTGGTTGAGAATGTAGCTTAAAATGAACTTGAGAGTAATGTGATAGTCTCTGTTTGTCTGGTGCTGCTTGCTGCTACAGCACCAAGTCTGACATGACCTGCAGATGGGACCAGATAGGCGTGTTAATGTAACATCCGAATGAAATGAAGGTGTCTTTGTGGGACAGCTGCACTGCACTTGCTTCTGCCCTAGCTGGCTCACACCAGCTCCTATTACACCCAGCCCATATGTGGCATTCAAAACCATTCCTGCCTGTAGTATTTAGAAGATGAGCATTAGTATGCATTAAGTAACTCACTGCATGATAACAAATCTAGTTACTTTCTTTTAAAGGTAGTGACATTGAAACCTCTTAGGCAAGCATTAAAATAAGTTGCTGCTTTCTTTACATTCAAAAATAGTGTGGTGGACTGAAAAACCTGTGTTTTTCTTAATTGTCTCTATAGCTGCTGGGTGAATTGATTCTGGATCGACACAATTTTGCCATCATGACAAAATACATCAGCAAACCAGAAAATCTGAAGCTGATGATGAACCTGCTGCGAGATAAAAGCCCCAACATTCAGTTTGAAGCATTCCACGTGTTCAAGGTGAGTTAGTATGAGCTGTAGAGGTGGAAGGCTTCCTCTTTTCCCCACAGAAGTGTCTTTTGAGGTGGGCAAGAGAAAGCCCAGAAAATTAAGGCAAAGGTTGGGGTTTACAGTCACTTCCAGTATTTGTGAATGCCTTAATTGAAAACCTTTCTACCACTCAGCCTCTGATTTCTGTTTGCCTTCCTTCAGGTGAGATCTAAAGCAGCATCATTTTGGTTTGGGCTGAGGGTAGTCACTCAAGTAGCGATGAGGTGGATGCTACAGGTAACAAAATGCACAGCTTCTAGGTCGTATCCAGGGTACCTTCCTCCAACTCTTAGGTCATTTTACCATGTGATTCTGGGTAAAGATTAAAAAAAAAAAAAGTCTTAAACCTCTACATTAAGACCAAAAGTAGATGGTGCCAGTAGGAACACAATTTGCTTTTAAAAGTATTAAAAATATTTGGTAAATCTGAGCTTGAAATGAGTTTAATCCTTCCGTCCTTTTGCAGTGACCATTAATGCAGTCTTAAACAATTACCAGACCCAACCAGTGTCCCTTTTCTCATTATGATTTATGTTAATAAGTGAAAAGTTTACCGTTTTCCTATCAAAAAAGTTCTCTGCTCTGGGACAGAGGGTGAGTTGGATTGTTATTATGCAAAGCTACCTTTAATTTGGAATGAACACTTAATTTCAAGCTATGTAAATACAGTTGTTAATGATTTTCAGAAGAGGAATATTGAGCCTGTAAGGATATTCTTCCCCAAGATGGTTAAGAAAGATACCGGATCACACCAAAAGGCATGCTATTGCGAAAAGGTTACATCACCCTCCACAAATTCATGGTGACTTGTTGAGTTTTGTACTTCTGCCATTTCTGATTTGGAAAAAAGCTTTCAGATCTCCAGTGTGGAGGCTTAGAGGATGTGTGGCTTCTCGAAAAAGCTTTTTGATTAAAAAAAAAAAAAAAAGCTTCAAGGAGGATTAAAAAGAAAAATTCCCTCCCTGAAATAAGCAGCTTGGTAAGCTGTTCCCTTGCTGACTTCCTCTATAGTCAGCTGAACCACTGTGAGTAACTTCTCCTCCTTATCAGGAGGTATGTGGCTCCAAGATAAGAGAGCAGTCAGGCTCCAAACACTTCCAGCCTTTGAGATGCTTATGGAGGGAAGAGATGAGAGGATTGGGCTCTCTCAGCCACTCTGTGAATAAATGCCAGATTTTTATGTAGGAAACACATGAGTTGCTGTTCCTGAATTAATGATAGGCATGGCCTAGGCCTTGGGAACAGCTGATTTTGCTTATTTTAAGAGGCATTTGAAAGGATTTGGAATCACTTGAAAGGATTCCAGTGTGCAACCATGTCACGCAGTGCTGTTTCTCCCATTCTGCCTTCCCATTCCTCCCTTCCTTTCCTTTTCCAGTATGTTGCATCCCATTTCCAGTTAGAGTGGATATTATAGGCTCAGCCTTGCTTGACCGCTTGCTATTGCTACCACGTGGAAATAATGCTGAGGCCTTTGGATGCCCAGCAAAACAAACAGTGCACGGTGGTAATGTTGTGACTCTTCAGCTCAAAGGACCAAACTCTGTCCTCAGACAGTAACCTCATGGGATGTTGTTGGTTTTTTCCAGCAGTACCCATCAGCAGCATTTAAGCGGTGCCATGGCGTGCCTCACACTACCTCGCATGCATAGTGCTTGTGGTGGGGAAATTGCAGACTCAGAGCAAAACCTGATCAGCTGGAAATTGCTCATTTATAACCACCAGCAGTGTACTAGAGTAACTCAAAGGTGCAGCAGAGCTCCCCTTTTAGGTCCTCACTAAGGACCTGGATGCAGAAACACTCAGCTTCTCCCTGGTGGGCAGAGTAGTCATAGGGTATGTTATAGAAAATTGCGTTGTGAATTAGCTTTGTAGAGCGGGTCAGAGAAGAGCATTTTCCTCTGATCTCACTTCTTAAATTGAATTCTAACTTCTTGAGAACTACTAAAGGAAATCCTTAAATATTTAACAGAATGGGGAAAAGCACTACTGGCTGGTTGTGCCCTGTTCTGCAGCATCCCTGCCTCCTGTTTCTGGGTTAGTGTCCCTCAGCCCGGTTCTCTTGTCAGCTGTAATAATTTCATGCTAATGTAACTGGGAGAGGAACCTTGTCCTCAGCTTTCAATCTCATAAATGTTAAACTGTGCCTGCATTTTTAAATGGTGCTTGCAAAATACCTGTGCAGTCCTGGTTGAAATTACAGTAGACTAACCACAGTGATTTGAAATCAAAGGTCTGCTGAGAAGTGGATACTTGCTGCTCTGTCTGAGCTGCCAAAAGATTTGGGTTTAAATTACCTGATTTAGATGTTTCACCAGTTAGACACAGTTGAAATGAAAAAGTGCTTGTTTTGTAAGCATCCAGATTCCAACACTCCCATGCCCCAGCTGACCCAAAAAAAATGCATATGACACTTAGGTCCCTGAGGCAATTCTAATTATTGGATTCAAAACTGTAAGACAGAGATGACTGTGATGAGCACCTCTAGTGCAAAAATATTTTGCAGGAACATTTTGTGGCTGAGAATGCCAGTACCCCTTCAAGCTCTGAGAACATTTCACTCATCCAGGATGCTTTGGGTGGGAAATTGAAGACAAACAGAGCACCCACTTGCAGTGCCTCCTTCCATTCTCCATTGAGGAGATGCTTGATCTTCCTCCTAGCTCCAGCTCCTTCTCTTTCTTCTGACTGAGCAAAATGGAGCTTCTGCCTCGCGGCACCATCCTAAAGGCCTGCGGCTGCTTTGTAAAGCTGGATGTCCCAGACAATGCATGCAGGAGTGTTAGCCAGTATTTAATCATCAGGAAAAGCTAATACACCTCACACCTTTCCTCCTCCTCCATAAATAATCCAATGGGGTCGCCTAGAGTTGTAGGCCTTGAGAGTCACCAGTTCTTCTCTGAACTGATTTCAGTGGAGACGTCTCAGTCTTGAGCAAGCACACTTTGAGGATCAGATACTGGGAAGGGCTCTCCGGCTCCTGTGATGGATTTGTGACAGTTATTACTGGAGCCTGCTTTGAGTTTGCCTGTAGGGGAGACCAAATCTTTCAGACACAAGTGAACGTGGTGCAGGTATTCCTTTGACCTTACGCAGGCTTGGGAAAGA